CAAGGAAATGACAAATGTTTGAAATGATGGATTTGCTAATTACCCTGATTTTATCATTATATATTGTGTGTATGTACCGAAATATCACATTGTACTCCACAAATATGTACAATTATGTGTCAATTAAAAAATAAATCCGCAAAAACTGTAAAATGGAGGAGTTCAATCATATTGATACCTAAGGTCTCTTCTACCTTGAAAATTTTATAAAGTAAGTCAGACTTGAAAGATACAAAAATAAATAAATATGGTCAAAATATATTTCTTAATTGTGAGGGAAAGTTTTTTTAACTATGCAAGCAGGACAAAAGAGAAATGATATCTGGTTCCTAAAGAAACAAGTTAAAATAAGTATTCCCACTATATTTATTTTTATGTTATTCTGAATTTTTTTAAATATCTATTTATAATTTCTGTGTGCTAGTTCAAATACTCATTTATTTTTTGAGGAAACATTTATTAAATATCTACGGTGTACTCAGCCCCATTCTGGGTGCTGTTACCTAATGTCAAAGAACTCAAGAGTCTGGCTATAGAAAAGAGAAAAGAGCACTGAAACAACATGTTCTATAAGCGTGTACCTCAGACAGCCAATTCTTACTTGGCTGCAGCCAGGTTACCTTCTGAGACATCTCCTTGACTCATGGGAAACACATTTTTGCCCCAGCATACACTACAAGTATGGGCCACCCCAGGCAGCCTCTAGCCAGGAGATGGGCACCAGTCTCTTTTCACTTAGGACCCCAAACACCACATGTCAGGCTGCCCCAAAGACTTTCTCTTACACTCCTTCCTAGTGCACCAGGGTGAGTCTAGAAGTTGCTGCAACTCAGCACGCATCCCTCCAGAGAATGAGATAGTGAGCTCTTCTTGTTGGCATCCCTGGTTTCTATGGGTTCTTTTGGAGCATCCACCATCCTTCACTTTGCATGGGAGAGGGCCCAATTCCCTCTCTTTCTCTCCCCAACAAGAAGGAGAAGGGACAATCAAACACTCTCCTCAGGCCAGTGACTCCTACAAATTCCAAGCATCTGCCTCCATAAGTAGAATGGGGAACTGGGTGAATACAGAAGAACCATTTTGGCTGCCTTTCAACAAGGCCTTGGAGGCAGTTTCCGGGCAGACTTGGTGCTACTTACTTCCTGTTGGCCTTACCTTTGGGCTTTAGCTGAAAGTCCGAGACAACAGATAAGGTCCTAAGTCATATCATTATATACATTGTTTATACATGATGGAATGGAGGTGGGAAAGAGTAATAAAGAAAGACAAGCTTCAGCTTTCCTTTGTTCTCAAAACCCACCCACCTCTCACTTGTCCCAGACCTTGGCAAAACTTTACCTGTGTTTGAACTTGGAGTCCTGTATATCAGCTTGTAGGCAGCATACAATATGAAGATGACCCACGTGAAGGAGAGACCCCAAAAGCACCATGTTTCTGACTACTGTTACAAACATCTCAATGAATATATTGCATTTGAGCTTTTCTCGACTGATGACTTTTTAGTTATCTGCTTTGCCACATTTCTCAAATGCTATGTATTTGTTATGGGTATTGCTAAAATATTTTGAGTCTTTAAGGTGAAAATACAGTCATAGAAATTGAGTGGGGAGGGCCGGCCCATGGCTCACTCGGGAGAGTGCGGTGCTGATAACACCAAGGCCACAGGTTCAGATCCTATATGGGGATGGCCGGTTCACTCACTGGCTGAGCATGGTGCGGACGGCACCAAAAAAAAAGAAAAGAAAAGAAAAGAAATTGAGTGGGGAAATGAAGGTTGGTATGTAATGCACACGCATCCAGATAGTCTCCGACCTATGGCTGCTCACTGAGATCATTTCCAGATGATATTGCTGGAGACCAGGCTACTCTCAGGTCCCCAAAGGGATCAAGCCAGCATAAGTTTGGGCCTTTGGTTGTCATGTCTTTGGAATTCGTGAGCTCTTTGAGGACAGGAATTCTCATCTTTTTCATCTTTGTATCCTCAGTAAATAGAACCCCACTGCATAGTACATAGCAGGACCTCAGTAAATATTGGGTGGAAGGGTGGGTAGGTGGATATGTGGATGATCCAACAAGCAGTCACTTCTTCCCTCTCATGGTGACAAAGTGAGCCCTTCCCCACCCACTCCTGCTTCAGTTCTTACTTGCCCTTTTGGTTAATGAGCAGGCAGCTGTATTGTTAGCCACATGGACACCATCTTCTTCATCCAGTGACTGCCTTGAGGGCTCTAGTCCTTCTGTTCTCCTAGGAACTGGAGGAGCAGAGCCCAATGCCCCCACCTCAGACAGAAGGCCCCTTCTTTTAATTCCTTCCTACTGCATCTGCCTTTCATATTAAGCATCCTACCTCCCCTTCTTCCTACCACTAATCCCATTGAACTTTAGGTGAACACATGTTTGAATTGGATCAGGCCAGACCAAAGGAGCAGAAGAAAATTTGCTCTGAGCACCTTCCTTGGAACAGGGCCTTGAAAATTGAGACTCCAGGCACTTGCATGCCACCTTTGAAGATGTTACAAGGCTAGAATGGTGGTTCTCCTTTACCATTCTGTGCCTCGATTTCCTCATCTGCAAAGAGGAATAATAGGGGCACCAACCTCATATGATTGTTTGAGATTAAATTGGTAAATATGTGTTAAGAGCTCAGTCTAGTAACTAGCATCTAGTAAATGCTCACCAAAAGTAGCAATTGTCATTGCTGTTCTTAGTAGTACTACTGTTATTACTCTCAAAAGTTAGCACTGGACATAAGACCTATAAATACCTAAGTAGTTTATTAAAGCACAGGTTTCTGGGCCTCCTTCTTAAATTCTGATGTAGTAGGATCTATATTTAATAAGCACCCCAGCTGATCCTGCCACAAGTCCTCAAGAAACTACACTAACATAAGACCTAAGCAACCATACTTGGCATAGTTAAGACCAGGCCAAAAATAAAAAGCCTCCAATGTAGGGAGTTGTGGGATTTTTGTTGATTTGTGAGTGAAAATTTGTGAGTGTGCATTTATTAAATGTGTAAATAGAAACTAATCCTAATCATAGTTGAAAATGTTGAAAGTAGTCCTTGATCAAGAAAAAGGCAAAACTTATAGTATGTGGTGGAATCAGACATTGGAAAGTGGTAGTGCCATCAACTTGTAAAGCCTTGAATTAGATTTGCTTTTTTTTTTAAACAGGTTTGAGATTTTTAAAAATCTTTTTATTACTCACTTGGGTTTTTTAAACTTTGCCTGATCATTGCTATTGTGACATGTGAGGTGATAACTAAATGTCTTTTTTTAGTGCTATAAATTTTGTTTGTTTTGTTTTGTTTTTGGCGGCTGGCCGGTATGGGGATCCAAACCCGTGACTTTGGTGTTATGAGACTGTTCTAACCAACTGAGCTAAATGGCTAGCCTAAATCTTTTCTTTTTTTTTATTGGGGTAAGAACACTTCACATGAGATCTACCCTCTTAACAAAATAAGCACACAATACAGTATTGTTAACTATAGGCACACTGTTGTATATAGCATGTCTCTAAAATTTAATCATCTTGCAAGTATTATGTATTTTAAATGCTTTTTTGTTTTATTTTTTAAATTGTTCCTTAGTTTTTTGGTTTGGGTTTGGTCTGGTTTGGTTTCCTTTGTTTTTAACTACTTTTTATAGCATATGTACAGTATTTTATTACTATAGGCTAGTCTGGGAACCTAATCACTATTTATAACATTTTTTCTGTGGGAAAATATAATCCCCAGTTCCAGATTTCAAAATTGACTATCGTTAGAGATAGGAACCATTCAGAAGATGGAGACTGCCCACATATATTCTATAGGGATTTGGGCAAAACTTTGTGAACCAGCCACAAATCACTAGTTCCCTAAAATGCTAACATAATGTTTTAAATAGAGCAGCATTTTCCTAGTCTGCTTATACTGTTTCTTTAACCTCTAATTTAGTAGTGCTTTCTTAATACCATCTTTTAAAATGGTTCCTGCTCTGTCTTCACATTGCTCTTGTTAGGCATTCTTATGTATGGTGTGGCCCAAATATTTATCAGTCATAAAAGATTTATCTCTCTCACATCAGTATAAACAAATCTAACTGTAATCTGAAGGATGTTTACAGTCCATATTTGACCTCCCAACTAGCACTTGTGTACAGAATAGGTAAGGGGAAAAAACAGCAACAACAACAAAAAAATCCCCACCTATTTTAGAGAAATTAGGAAATAGAGACAACCAGACTAACAGAGGTCATTTTTTACTTTTCACTTTTCAAAGCAGATTGTTGATCATGAGATATTTCATTTGAAGTAGATATGAGTATTTTAATTGCATTTCTAAATCACAGAGATTTTTCTCTAAAGAATTAAATTAATATTCTTCAGAAAGATAAACTTTCGATCATTTAGGTTTGTGGGGTTTTTAAAAATATCTTTAGTTTCTTTTCAGTGTCTTCTCACACTCTTTGAAGTTACAAAGGAAAAAGGAAAAAAAGTTTATGTCCTTGACTTCCTGCTGAAGGATGCCAGCACTGACTCTGTTAATGAACAGCCCTAGTAAAACAAACATAAACCTTTTGTGAGAACATTCCTTCCTAGAAGGAGTTGGGTTTGCCCTTTCCCAAGATTTAGGTTTCTGTGAAAATTCTTTCAGACGTGTCTTGGCCAGAAAGTGTTATTTCATTTTACTCCGCATTCATGTTATTGAATGTTGCTTCTGTCAGAGGGAAAAACACTGGAATTGCTGAAATATTGACAAACTTAAAATGACAAGGAAATTGCCACATTGACAGAATTTTGGTTCATCTATTTAAAGATGATTTTTTTAAAAAAGATGTGTAAGACTATTATTCTGACAAGTTACATTGAATAATTGAGATTGTTAACAAGAGGATCCCACTGAAATCATCAGCCTGCCTTAAGAGGAAAATATTGTTTAGTGAAATAATAAATATGAAGCTCTGAATTTTAGGAAAGAATTATGTGTTGATTGGATATTCTTCTTTGCTTTTTTAGCTGTATGACAAAATTAACACAAAGTCTTCACCACAAATCAGGAATCCTCCAAGTGATGCAGTACAGAGAGCCAAAGAGGTAAGTGATATGTTTTGTAAAACTATTTGGCGTCATCATTTTCTACCTTTATTGAAGATGTTACTGCTGCACATTAAGAGGCAGTTTCCTTGGAGTCACAGCTTGACTCATTATACTCAGATTTAGTATTTCTAAGTTTATCACTGAACATACATACAGAAAAGAAAAAAAAAACCTCAGCAGCAGTACTGCCTAGATTTCCAGTTCTGGTTCTGCTACGTAAATTTGAATATATTAACATACCGATTTTACTTCCCTTTTTCTTTTTTCTCTTTTAAAAAAGAAAGTTATCTTATTGCACTTAGTGGAAATAGACATGCTGTGAAAATGTGAGTTGCTTTTTTAAGGTGGCAATGTTTGAAAGTTAATTAAATTTCTATAGCAATTAAATATCGGAGTTCAAAGAAGTCATTTTTATGAACTGTCAATGTATATGGCTGTATCTATTACAAACTTCTTTATTATAGAAACATGACAGGGCAGAAAGTTTGAAAAATAAAAATTCATTCATAATCCCATCACTTTAACACAGTAGTTTCCATTTTTGCATATTCTTTTTCAGTCACCATCTATTTACATATAAATTTTTATACAGTTGCAATTGAAATGTATCTTTTTTTAACCTAACATTATATAATGTTTTTCCATGTTTCTGCTTGGTCTTCATAAAAATAACTCCTAATGACTGCACAGCTTTTCTTTGCTATTGTTATAATGAATTAGCAATTCCCCCATTGTTGCACACCTAGGTCTTTTTCATTTTTTGATCCTATAAAAGTTTTTATGCAAATAAACATTTCCCTCTTTTAAAAAAAGTGAGATTACTAAATGAAAGAATACAAAAGACTAATCCCTTCCCTACCAGATTTTAAACACAAGGCCTATACTGGAAGAATACCGTCTCTTCACTGAGAAATGAGACCGATGCCGTGGAGACTTCCAGGCCTGCCCACTTGGTCAGGACAAGCTTGGAGAAACATTCATTGCCCACCAAACACTCAATGAGAGGAATTAAGGTGTCACCAACAGGGGGCATGAGTCACCCTATCTTCATAATTCCCAAATAGCTAGAAGCAGAGACACTCCGGGGACAGTTCTTTGGCTCAACTGTACAGTGAAAGCCTGCTGAAGGTTTCTACCTAGGAGATCACACCTCTGTGTACTACCTCTTGTGTTTCCATCAATACTATTCTTTTATAAATTAATACCCTTTGAATAAAATGAAAAATATTTCAAAAATAATTGTTTTGTCTGACTTTAAAATCCACTCATAATTTTTTATTGAAAAGAATTCCATATTTTGTAAATCTTATCATGTTTGCACTATTATATATCTTGCTTATTTTTTAGGTATTGGAAGAAATTTCATGTTACCCTGAGAATAATGACGCAAAGGAACTAAAGCGTATTTTAACACAACCTCATTTCATGGTAAGTTAACAAACCTCCATAGAACTAAAATCCCACTTTCAAAAGAAGTCTTAATGAGCCTCACAGAATATAGTGAGCTTCATCAAATGCATTTTTATCTATATAACATCAGACTGTTAAGATTACAATACCAGGTAATAGCGAATACTTGAAGATTCCTTTCTTTACTTTGTGTCACAGCTATAAAGATGCTGTTTGTGAAGTGGCCTGCAGGGACTGTGTAGTCATCAGTTAAGGGATTTGCTTCTTTACAGGAAAGTCGTTAAGTCACTATGTATGTTATTTAAACCACAAAGAGCTAAAATTGAAGACAATTTTTGCTGATAAAGAATTACCCGAACTTAGGTGGTAAAGACAAAGCAAAATTCTTGCACTTTCTTCATTCATTTCTACTGTATGGAAAATGGGGAAAGCACCTGTATTTAATCAGTTATTTTAAAGCTAAATGGTTAAACAAAACTCAAAATAGATAAGATACTTTCCTGTAGAAAAAAGGTCCATGGTTATCTACCTAACTGCAACTTGAAAGCACAATAACAGATGGAAATTTATATTGAATATAACGTTTTTAAAACATTAGCCATATCAGTATATGTGGAATATATGCAGAGAGTGGAAAATCCAGCTGACTGCCCTTTGGGAGAAAATTTGACTTAAAAGACTTGTTCTTATTAGTAGTATTGCAGGTAACATTTTTTAAACTTATAGTCACGGTGTAATATGTGTATTATATCAATTACCTGTGAGTTTTGACATATATGCTGTTTTATGATACATTGTTTTTAAAACTTTATCCCAGTCACTGAAATAAATTTTTTTTCTCAAAGTGACCACCTAGAAAGAAGCAGTTACCGTATTCACCCTCCCTTACTCTCCCACTCAAGCATTAAAAGCTGACCTCAAATATAATCCGTGAGAATATTTGACTTTCTTCTATGTGATAGCAGCACTATCCAGTAAATTAGTTAGGAATACAGGTTCTGTGCTTGTGGGTGAGCACATTTTTACAACTTAGGTGTGTAAACACAGAAGTTGGTTCAAATCGCAATTCTGCTGTTAAAATCTCTCCTAACTCCTCTCAAATCCACATTGAACATTCTCTTCTCTAACTCTTTTCCATTTGTTTGTATTTACCTGTGTAACATTCAAATCCATGCTGACCTGCAGTATTAGGTCCCTTCCTGGTGAATGGGCCTGGGCAGTTCTTCTGTGTCCATCCACATCTCAGCTCAGCTGTGCTGTTCTCATTAAACTTATGATCTCTGTGCCTGACTTACTTCACTTAGCATGATGGTTTCCAGTTCCATTCATGTTTCTGCAAATGATAGGATATCGTTTCTTTTTATAGCAAATAGTATTCCATTGTATATATATATATACCACAGATACTGCATGATCTCACCCATGTATGGAATCTTAAAAGAAAAAAAAAGTGGTTCTCATAGAAGTAGAGAGTAGAAGATAGATTTACCATATGATCCAGCTATCCCACTACTGGGAATATACCCAAAGGAATGGAAAACATCAAGTCGAAGGTATACCTGTTTCCCAATGTTCATTGCAGCACTCTTCACAATAGCCAAGAGCTGGAATCAACCCAAATGTCCATCATCGGATGAGTGGATACAGAAAATGTGGTATATCTACACAATGGAATACTACTCAGCTATAAAAACAACACCCAATGTTGGAGCACCCAGATTTATAAAACAAACTCTATTAGAACTAAAAAAGGAAATAGACACTAATACTATAAT